ACGCCCACAGCCTTCTGAACTGATCTACAATAGGCTAGCACGTCAGAGAACGGAGGACGGCCCTACCATCTACAGTTTGATCACTAAGGACCAATACTCTGGGAAGCCAAATGAAGCAGACTACGATGAAGCATTTCACCAGCACAGATTCTGTGGCAAACAAATTTTCAACCCTAATCTGTTCAGCTATGGGTTGTGTTAGGGACTTGATAAAGCCTCAACAATTTATAAAAAATATTATCCATTTTCACCAGCGAACCGGGGCACGAGTCATTATAGTTTCTTCTGACCAAAAGGCGAAACGAAGACTTTGGAGAGGACTTTCGCACAACGAGTTTGTAAAGACTTTGGAAAATCTGATAGCCTCACACTCATCACTTGCCCCTGTCACCACAACACCCCAGAAGCAACAGAGCAACAGCAACACCTCCATCACACAACAATCACCATCTCCAGAATTTTCCACCCAATGCCAAAGTGAAGTGAGTGATAAAAGCCAGTCCAGTGTAAGTGAGTGCGTAAATGGAGCAGAAAGCAATTCAAGTACCCCGACCAACTCAGATGCAACTCCAGACTCCAGCAGCACTCCACCATCACGTGAACCTTTATCACCTTTTAAAGGATTCAATACACCAACAACTGAGAAACTGGACTACATAACTAGTAATTTAAGCATGTATGATACTAATAGACCTAGCTCTTTTATAAATATTTCACCTTTTTTAGGGAACATGACCCAATTTCCACTCTTAGGAACAAAGTAAGGCATACAAGTAATAATAGTAATAACTTTTGGTTTTTACATCTGAACATTCAAGGTTTTTGTAATCATTCTACAGATCTGTGTTTTTTACTGGAGAATAGTAGCAACAACATAAAAGTAATATCTCTGAATGAACATTGGTTAAACAAATCTAATATTAATGTATTAAATAAGTTAAGTGGTTTTAAAGTAGCTGACTATTTTTGTAGATACAGAAAACTTAGAGGAGGCTCAGCTCTTTTGTTATCTCAAGAAATTGAATTTAAAAAAAGAGATGATCTCAAGTTTTTAAATGAAGAAAATAATTTTGAATGTAGTTTTGTAGAAGTTTGTGAATGGAATACATTATTTATTTCAATCTATCGTATACCAAATCTGGACATTGATGACATATTTTTTGAGAAATTTGACTGTCTTTTGTCTAAACTTTGGCATGAGTCTAAGTCAAAAAACATTTTAATAGCTTCAGACCATAATATCGATCTTCTAAAAAACAATAACCGATCAAGAAGTTTACAATACCTTTGTTATCAGTTTGGGTTAAAATATCACTTTTTTCAACCAACAAGAATAACTCCAACCTCCAAAACTTGCATTGATAACATATTTTCTAACATGAAATTGATTTCAGATAAAGCTGAAACCCAAATTATCAATGCAGGTGCATCTGATCATGAAGCAATACTATTATCACTAGCTGACTTAAAACCACCCCCCTCAGCTTTAAAAAGATCAAATGTTTCTTTTAAAAGGTCATTTAATTCAGAAAATTTAAATTATTTCAAAAATAGTCTTATTGAATCAGATTGGAAATTTAATCCTTTTGAAACTGTAAATACAAATTATAATAGCTTTTTAGATTGCATCATGAAAAATTTTAATCAAGTTTTCCCTCTTAAACAATCAAAATGTAATTCTGTTAAACATGCATCCAAAAACTGGATTACACTTGGTATAAAAATATCCACTGAAAGAAAACGGCTTCTCCATATCGAGTCAAGATGGAATAAGTCTAAGGACTTCCAAGATTATGTAAAAACATACAGACAAATATTCAAAAAAACAATTGAACTCTCTAAAAAGAAATACAATGATCATTACATTAAAAATTCTCTTAATAAGACCACAGCAACATGGGAGATTGTTAAAAGGGAACTTGGACAACAAAAGGAAAAATCTGAATTACCTTATCATGTTCAAAACGATTCCTTGAAACTTACACATTTGGCTAATAATTTCAACAACCATTTTCTATCTGCACATACATCAGTAGGGTGTAGTCCTAAAGCCAAAGAGGCTCTGAATTTTATAGATTCAAAGTACTACAAAAATACATTTAAATTCAAACTAATTACCGAATCAGAAGTAAGGAAAATTGTATTTTCCTTAAATAACACAAGATCTGTCGGTTGAGATCAGATTCCATTGTTCTTACTTAAGCATGTAATAGATGAAATACAAACTCCTCTCTGTAATCTCATAAACCAGTCCTTAATGCACGGTATTTTCCCAAACAAACTAAAATACTCCAAAATTTTACCACTCCATAAGAAAAATGATAAAAACACTTTAGAAAATTACCGCCCAATAGCTATGCTCTCAAGTATATCTAAAATATTCAAAAAATGTGTTGACCTACAATTTAGAACTTTTTTAGAAGATAATAATATTTTTAATGATTCCCAATTTGGATTTAGAAAAGGATTAAGTGCTCAACAATCAATGACTAAATTAGTAAACTGTGTTGCGAGTTCCTTGGATGGATCTCAGAAGACAACTGGAGTTCTGTGTGATTTAACCAGAGCTTTTGAATGTGTCCATCACAGTTTGTTAATAGACAAACTTGAAAAATATGGAATAAAAAACAAGGAACTAAATTGGTTTTCTACATACTTGAGGGATAGATATCAAAGGACTAAAATTATCAAATTTGGACATACTATAAATTCTAATTGGGAAAAAGTTGAAGTAGGGGTGCCTCAGGGATCAATATTGGGCCCCTGTCTATTTCTTATTTATGTAAATGACCTACCAAATGTGTTAAAGATGGATGTATTTCAATTTGCTGATGACACAATGCTGTTATGTAAGGGACCCAATGTTGAATCCCTTCAGCACACAGTAGATACAGAATTGGCCGCTTTAAGTGACTGGTTTGGAGTAAATGGGCTCTCCTTGAACATGGACAAGACTCAAGTAGTTAATTTTCGATCAGATCATAGAAATAGTTTAAAACAGACCACTTTTACAAATCATCAGTTAAAGTTACAGATACTAAAACTCAATTAACAGTTTATCATTCATATTTTTCATCATTAATGTCATACGGAATACTTGTCTGGGGAAATTCTTGCCATGGTAAGAAGATTTTTAGGCTTCAAAAGAAGGCACTTAGAATCATAGCTAAAGTACCCCGAAGAAGTCCGTGCAAAGTCATCTTTCAGGCTTTTAGCGTTTTGACATTTTATGACCTGTATATTTTAGAAGCATTATTTTGGGTATTCAACAATTTGTCCATTTTCAGGGAGGGTCACACAAACCATAGGTATAACACTAGACATAAGAACCTAATTAAGCCCTCTAGCCATAGATTATCACTATTTGAAGCATCACCTCAATATATTGGACCGAAATAGTATAACTTGATTCCTGATCATTTAAAAAACATTGCAAATCCAAAAAAGTTCAAACAAAAATGTAGAGAATGGTTATTGACAAAAACATTTTATTCTTTAAATGAATTTTTAAGTGGAAATTGGGAGGGTTAAGTGTTGAAATTATTTTATTTGGATTTATTACTATTTAGATTTAAGTATTATAATGCATTGACAAATGTCCTGTCATTTTATGATGTAATGGCATTCTGTAAATAAATAAATAAAAATAAAAATATAATTTTAGCAAATTTCTGATATAAACTATATCAGTAAAAGGGAATATTACTGGGACCAATTTATATATCCACCCAAAACTGAAAAAAAAAATTTGACATAAACAATACTATCCTATACTCAAATACGAGCAATGTTTGCTTGTATGTATGCTTGCTTGCTTGCAGAAAGATTTTGAAAACGGCTCCGACGATTTTCTTCAAATCTTGTAAATAGTTTATTTTTGGCCTAAAAACAAGTTTCATACAGTTAGAACTGCCAACAAAAATCTAATTACGTAGAAAAACGAAACTGAAAGTCACATTTTTTTAACATTAGTCTTATGGGTTGCTAAGTAACCATGTTGGTTGAATTAAATAACAAGGAAAAAGTAAACAAAAGACTTGAAGTTGTAGCATGTGTTCATAATAAGCCAACTACCCACAGCATACTAGCAAATTACAAATACAGTACAAAAGGGAAAGCATCACTTGTTACTATTGAGCAAAGATTATACTGAAGATTGCTCGATACATTTTAGGCCAGTATAAACGCAAGCAGTACGAAGTGTGGGATCTGTTTATGACGAAATCCTAAAATGCTATGGGAAGGGAGGGAAACAGGTCCGCGACGTAGGAAGTGGTGAAGGAAGTAGTCAAGGCGAGATGTCTGGAGTGTGGGAACTGTTTATGACGATTAGATTATGGTATTTGCAATCCTAAAATGCTATGGAGAGGGAAGAAATCAGGTCCGCGACGTAGGAAGTGGTGAAGGAAGTAGTCAAGGCGAGCTGGCAAGAGTGTGGGAACTGTTTATGACGATTAGATTAAGGTATCTGGAATCCTAAAATGCTATGGGAAGGGGGGAAAACAGGCTCGCGACGTAGGAAGTGGTGAAGGAAGTAGTCAAGCTGAGCTGTCCGGAGTGTGGGAACTGTTTATGACGATTAGATTAAGGTATCTGCAATCTTTAAATGCAATGGGAAGGGAGGAAACAGGTCCGCTTTGTAGGAAGTGGTCAAGGAAGTAGTAAGGCTAGCAGTGCAGAGTGTGGGAACTGTCTGTGGCAATTACATTAATGTATCTGCAATCCTAACATGCAATGGGAAGGGAGGGAAAAAGATCCACGACGTAGGGAGTGCTGAAGGAAGTAGTAAAGGCGAGCAGTGTGGAGTTTGGGAATGGATTTATGTATCTGCAATACTAAGACTGCTTTCAGAGTAAACTAATGATTTTCCCCGAGCAAGGCTCGGTTCCCAGGTACTCTCTATATACTAAGCACAGGACAAGAAAGTAAAAATCAATAACAACAAAATATTAACATTATCTAAGTAGGTAAGTTAAATAATACTGGTAATAAAATCCAACTGAAACAAAAACCTTTAATAAAAAATGTTTGAAACATACAATAAACATCTATTAATTAGTACAAACATAGAAATAACTTAAGTCTAAGATAATAGGGAAAAAGTGTACATAAAAATTGTCTCTTTGGCAAATAAACAAACTCTTTCACTACATAAATATTACATAGTAGATAATGAGAATTCTGTAAGTTGTAAGTACTGTAAAAATCAAAAGATGGTACATGACATAATTTATTATTTTTCATTCAATCGCGTACAACCAAAAAGTATTAAAAACCAATACTTGAATGAATGAGGTCGTCATGTTGTAATATCAAGACCTGACTTGTTATCAAAGGAAGCTGCCCACACTTCCTTCCTGACACAAAAATAGATAACTGGTTGATGGGTACAAGCAGCAGGTACTAGAGTGATAAACTAATATGTACAATGTTGTTAAACAGACAGTCTTGTAAATCAAGGACCATTAAGTCAAACAAGACATGGTAGTTGTAAAACAAGATTAAGCCTAATTGTATGCAAAATATCATCAAGAAGCTTAATTCAAATGACAGTACTTCTATTAAACTGCTACAGTGGGACCTCAATACCGGTACATAATTCAAACCTTGATATCTCAAATGATTTATAATCCCCTTTAAATCCCCATAAATCACAAGTTTAAAAGTACTTCTATAAGTCTAATGTTTTGAATATTTAACCCCAATACGTAGAATTTTAACGGTTTTTAATCTGTAATAAATACTCAACCTCTATAACTTGAATTTTCCCAGGCTTAAGAAAAAAGGTGAAATCGCCAGGGAATTTGAAATTCCGCCTAAAACTTTATCGACAATTTTGATATACCGTGCAAAGTATTAGGCGGAAGGTGGATTAATCAATAAGAAAATATGTAACAACGGTGAGTTTAAAGACATGGACAAATGTGTTTAAACATGGTTAAAACAGTGTCGAGATAAAAACATCCCTCTATCAGTCCTGATTTTGCAAGAGAAGGCCATTCAATATGTCATTTGAATGGATGATAAATTGTTTTGTTTTGCTTCCCCATAACTTTCAGTACATATAAATAGCTTGAGCTCGATTTATAAACGTTTTGCGTGTAAAAATCTAGTTATAAAGGTCATGGTGTAACATCAATATCAGAATCCAACACCTCAGTATCTCAAATTTTCGGTAAATTATCTTCATAATTTGAGCCTCGCTTTGTTGAAAAACTTGAATTTGTATCATACCTCCTTGAGATTCAAGATATCGAGGTCCTACTGTATATAATCTTTAACCAAGCCAAACAAGTTAACTTTGTAAATGTTCCTAAATTATAAGATGTATTAAATCAATCCTAAGTTGTGTTACTAAAACTTTAAATATACAATAACAAATCTATAAAAATAGTGTGTTGTTTGATTTTAACTACGTGACATTGTTTATGTATAAATAGTAAGGCTCGCTGGTGAGTTGTCAAAATTTAACTATATTTTCACATTTATCTTAAAACAAAAATTTCTAATTCAGATCATATAGATGGTGTTTCAACATAAAACTACTCTTCATAAGATAGTTGTTAATCTTACAAGCTATTAAGTTGAGTAATAAGGTGGCATTTTCTTGGAATCATTCACACATTTTCATATAGAATCTTATCATATAATTTTTGTCTGTTCTCTCCTAGCATTGGGACCATAGACAATCACTTGAAACTAAGGTAGTCCTAAACCCTATAAACATTGTCGTTGGAATTTCCTCCTATATTTGTCTTTGCTTTGACCAATTAGATCAAAAAGTATGAAAAAGGATTTAAATGAAGAGATGTAATGGTGTTATCCAAAGTAATAGGTATTTTAAAATACTATAATACTAATGAAAACAAGAATTAGGCCTATATGGATTTTTTACATTACCTGTCATACAGTTTCAAAAAGGGATTGTTAACCTACAAGCTTTAATAACAGAGTCAATAATTTGTTAACTTGTATTTGATTAGCAGCAATGAAGTGGAAATGATGTGTAAGGATGTTGAATTCCGTCAGGTAATGTAGGTAATGTCAATGAATCACAACTTTTGAGAGTGCCAAATATATGAGTAAAGTTTACAGCTTGAATGTCAGCCAAGGCTCCAGTGTCAGCATCATCTGGACTATTACACCCTGTTGGCTCAGGGAAAGCCCTACTCAACACACACACACACATGGGGTGGGATGGACCATTGAGAGTGTGTGTGCGTAAGTCGGATACCACACAGATAAGGCCGAGCTCAAACCGCATTCCCTGAGCAAACAGGGTATAGTAGCAATAAAGATCCTGGCTAGATTTGTGTCTTTATAAAATGTTTCCTAAATTGAAATCTGATTATTTGGTTGGTGCAAGAGAGGGGTCAGTACAGTACAGTCTAACCTTGATATAACGAACCTCGATATAACGAATTCCTTGATATAACGAATTTTTTTGAATCCCCTAGAACTCTCCATAAGACACAATGTATGTTTTACCTCTACATAACGAACAAACCATATCAACGACCTTGATTTAACGAATTTTTCATGATCCCGGCTAAAATAAGACACCTCAATATAACGAATTTGTCATTGTCAGAACCTCTACATAGCAAATTTAACCTCTACTTAACGAATTGTCTGCGTCTCTCCCTCGATACAACAAACCCCCCACCCCCATTATTGTTTTTGAAAAATCAGTTTCTTCATCAAATGAAATGGAAAGGTGACGTCATCGCTCGCGCTAACATTCGTCTGCTTCATTTTAACACATCGCTGTCTGCCGTCTGCTGTCGTCGCTGCATGCGCGCTATGTTACAACTGAGAACTGATTTCATTCACTGAGGACTGATGACGACGTAATGTGTAGTAAACTGTGATTGGGTGATAAGTAAATATGGTGAATTGTACAATTTTTGGATGAAGAAAAACCTAAGAAAGAAAAAAAATAGAAGAACAAAGCAAGAAAAAGAATAGAAACATCGTTATCTTAACATTCCTTTTACGAGTGTTTTTATTATGATTAAGTTGGCTATGATTATACACTTTTATAACGACTTATCTAATAAGTTTCATTATTTTCAATACGATTTGTTTAAACTAAGGCAACACCAATTCCATAGTTGATGATTATTACAGAATTGACATTCCTCTGTTGTGATTTAAAGCAGTACTGTAGCACTGTGATTTTAAACTTACAGTTTATAACATGTACCAAGGTCAATGAATAGAAATGTCATGATTGCGCAATATTAAAGATTCCTACCCTTTAGTACCCCAGATAATCGAGGTTTTATTTTAAAATGTAAATACTGTACTGTAAAGTATTGTAGCCTATGCTACTTTAATTGTGTTTTAATGAGATCAAATCACGACCTATATTGACTGATGCTGGTTCTGAACCTCGACTTAGCGAAATTCCTGCAAACCTAACCTCAATATAACGAACCTCGTTTTAACGAAATCCTTGATATAACGAATATTCAGTTCGGTCCCTTCAGATTCGTTATACCGAGGTTGGACTGTACTTGTTTTAATTCACTATTGAGAGGAAAAATGTTTATGGACTAGTTTGTACATTTAAGTCTAAAAAAGTAGTTTTCGTATAAAAGCTAAATTAATATATATTTTGTTACTGTCATTGATAATTGTTATAAGATCTTTTTCTGGTTAAAATCACACCTATCATATAATGTGTTGATTTATAAACCATCCTAATGGCCAGAACTCTGATAAAGTCAGATAATCAAAGAGCAATATACAAGAGCATTAGGAGGTTCCTAGTTTAATGGTTAATCTAGGAACAACTTGATAAAATCTTGCTCACTGGCATTTGATACTATTTCAAAGAATAAAAATAGAAGTAAATATAACTTATAAAACGTTTTACTTTATAAAACTACAAAAAAACAAAAAAAACAATCCGTATTAGCCTGGGTTTCACTTATATTAATAAGGATACAAGTTACAACTTCTTAGCAAAATCAAATATTTCAAACATAACTGGTCCATCTGCACTGAGCACTGAGCAGTATTATCACAGTTGTAGACACCAAGGTGATGTTACGAGGAACTGGTGACACTCGACACCCAGCCGCTACTGACCAGGTGGTCTAGGATGTGTTGACTGCCATCACCTTCTACATTCAGCAGGGGATCCTGGCCAAACAACATGACATCAGCACCAAGATCAGTCTAACTTACCAATCAAAAGTAGGTACAATATATTAGAAATTCACACTACTTCACAATCATAGGTATTGTATTTGCATATTTTTTATATTTTGTGACGTTGATCAAGGACAAAGGTCTCCGGCTGAGAAGAAGCTAAATCTCGACATTATCACAACGGGTCGTACTTCCGAGATGACATTTTAGACAAAGGTTATGGGAGGGAAAATCAACAATGAATCTTGCTTTGTGATTAGGTTTCAGCATAGATAAAACATACTCCCTTAGTAGATTTCTCATCCTTATGGAACAGCTGAAGACAATTTTATTGTTAGTTCTGTACGGTTTATGTAGAGGTCGTGTTTTGTTTACAATTTGTTTCCCGTTATTACAGCCATTTAAAACCTCGTTTAACCAAATATTACGATCTAATCATAAACAATAACCTGTCCCCTAGTTATATAACCGAACAGTAAAGCACAAATCAAGAAATTAACCCTAAAATAATAGAAACAAAGTTTCGTCGACACTAGCGCCCATGTTTCACATACATGAACTAGACACGAAAAACGTGCTTCAAAATTTACAATGGGATGAGAAGTCTACTTGTGTTGGTTAGTCTATGGTTTCAGTAACCTAAGTTATCAACTCATATTGAAGTTCATCACGAGTTGACGGATGAGAATGGAGTTTTCGTAAAATTTGAATTAGCTTGCTTGGCTGGGACAGGAGACCTTGGACCTTAATTTACTTTACAGACAATCATTGTAGACATATTTTAGAAATCTCAAGTATACAAATTGTTTCAACTCTTAACTCCAATAAATGCTGCAAAAAATGTGTTTCCAAAGAGAAAAAATCCTAACAGCGTCAGAACAAACAGGAAGCAGCACACAAAAGAGAACATAAATAACTAGTATAAAGAAAAGCCCAAGGAAGTTGATAGACCTAAAAGTATTCACCTAAAAATGTAATTTTTAAGGCCTCTTTCATAAAGTCTGACAAAAAGGACCCGCTGAAAATGTATCGATCATTTTAACAACACTTAGTCAAACAGTCACTAATATATTTAAGTAGAGAAGTTATGTTAGGAGAGAAAATGACTCTAACACAATGTGTTTTATTCCCTTACCTCTCTAAACTGAATCAACAGGGAATAGGATCCATGGGGGTTTTGCTCTTAGTATTATAAAGTTCTTTTGGGGATTTGTAGAGGCAGCCGGAAAGCTACAAGTTGATGTCTATAACTTTCTATTGTATATTTAGTCAGTGTTTTAATGAATGGACAATTATCTCATGTAATGCCCAATAATATGTTTTTCTGAGGCCTAAAAAATGATACCAAAAACTAGAACCCCTATCAATACAAGTTCCTGTCAGATATAGCCAGTTCCTGCCCCCACTCATCAGATAAGATACCACTGACACACTCTACTGTTTTCCTTTCTGCTATTTCACATCCTTTTCCCACTCCATTCACTCACATTTATCAATGTAAATTAACCTAATTGGTAAAATATCAATTTATTCTTAAGAAACTTGGTCTTAACAGTTATCAAAGTCCATATATAGATCCCATGAAGTACCCATGAACTTTTGAGAAAACAACAAGTCACAACCCATAAACCATATACTTAAAATGTTCGTCATGACGAGAAACCTTGCGCAAAACTATCCATTATTTCATAAATTGCCCTTTTAGGTTGTAATTCCTTTCTATAGGGAATTTTCCATACAGTAGACTCCCTCTTATCCGGACACCTTTTAACTGGACTACACTCGACGGAAATGACATATCTTTAACCGTACAATTTTTATCAGCACATTGGTTTAACCGGACTAGATCAGCAGGACGTGGGCGGTACTGAAACAACTGCTCTTGCGGGAAAGATTTGAGACCAGTGATCACATGTCTAAATACAATTTTGGCAAATTTTGGCATAATGACTGTTTATAGTTTGTACATTTATGAAGTGATCATGTATTGTAGGCTTCACTTTGATGAATTGGGTTTACTAGGGAAAAGTCATTCTTACAATACTAGAAACAGGCATATCAATGCCAATTCACAAACTAGAGTTTTACAAAAAAAAATAAAAAAAAAAAACAACATACGCTGGAGGAAAATTTTATAATAATTTACCCGATAATATTAAAAAAGAAGTTAGTATTATAAAGTTTTAAAAATTGCTAAAGAATTATTTAATTTCAAGACCACTGTATTCATTGGAAGAATTTTAGTATGTTTAGTTTTTCATGTAGTCTTATGAAAATATTGTTGACACAATGCTATGTACTAATTTCATGTACAATTACGAAATTTGAATTGATTAGAATTGAATTGAATGCTCTCCTAAATTTAAGTCGAATATCACAGTAAACGGTCCATTTTAATGAGTTTTTGGGGAAGTCGGCTTAACCGGAAAACTGTTATCCGGACTAGCCTCGGTCCCGAGGAGTCCTGATAAGAGGGTCTACTGTATACCTAATGTTAAAAATACCTCAGCTGTACTTATTTGTATGTTTGTTATTCTTTCAATTTATTACCTTATTAACATCAGGTGCGACTATTTGTTTGTATTACTAGTTCTGTTTTGTTGTAGCTTAACTGGACCAATCAATAGTTTTACTAATACTTATGAAGTCAAACGGAATGAAGCCCGTGGGTAACAGCTAGTTGTTATAGTACTTTTTGGTTAAGTTAATTGAGCAAAATAACAAAATTAGGATATCCCAACCTGTTTAAGAAAGAAAAACCACAAATGCACTCAACTATGAGTAAATAAGCTTTTCGTCACTCCTGAATTTGAAAATAGCCCATTTCCATATATCTGAGATCTTCGAAAATCGTCAATTTCCATACATCAAAAACAAATAGTGATCAGCTGACTTTTCCTGACATAACAATTGTCCTTTTCAGATGTAGATAATGTAAACATTTAAAACAGCTATAATAAATTCTATTATGGCTCTATAATATATGCTTTTTGCTGTCTGAAATATACTATTTCACTACTAGTCACGAAAGTGGCCCATTTCGGGCCGAGATTGTGTTTTAAATGCGAGTCGAAGACGAGCTTGGGAAACACTATCAAGCCCCAAAACGGGACTTTCGTGATGAGTATCAAACGATACTTTTTATCACGATGAAAAAGAACTACTTCATCAAACTTAAAAATTATCTGATATTTCGTAATCTATACATTTTTCTAATCTTAACACAATACGGCTGTACAATTAATTTTAGTATAAAATTCAGCTGATTGTAACTTTGTTGATGTCAGGCAAAGTATTGTTTGTATAGCAATAGATGGATATAAGGTAGATTGGTTACTTTTGTTGTCAAGTAATGAACGGAACATTATATAATCAATTGTGATATTAAAGTAATAAAGTAAACCATATAGAAATAAGCTAATCGACCTCTTTTAGCGAATTTCCCATATAGGGAATATTAGCGAATTTCCCATATAGGGAATAAGCTATTACCTCAGTACTCATGATAAGACCTGGACCCGGGACCGATTTAATTTTTCATTGTGAGGTCCCTAGAGGCAAAAAACACCATCCGTTTAAATTCATATATATATCACACATATATGTGTATATATGTGTCCGTTAGCGCGATAACTTGAGCAAAAATGATCCGATTTTGATGAAATTTGGTAAAAACGTGTAAACCTACGTTTAATCGAACGAGTTAGCGATCCAGCATAATCGAACCATGGGAACGGGGGTTTATGGGGGGTTTTAGCGAATTTCCCATATAGGGAATAAGCTATTACCGTAGTACTCATGGTAAGACCTGGACCCGGGACCGATTAACTTTTTCGTTTTGAGGTCCCTAGAGACCAAAAACACCATCCGTTCAAATTCATATAATATATATATATTTATATATATATAATTATATATATATATTTATATATATATATATTTATATATATAAATATATTTATATATAAATATATATATTTATATATGTGTCCGTTAGCGCGATAACTCGAGCAAAAATCATCCGATTTTGATTAAATTTGGTACAAATGTGTAAACCTACATTTATTCAAACGAGTTCGCGAACCAGCATGATCGGACTATGGGAACAGGGGTTTATGGGGGGTTTTATGGGGCAAAAATTGGTTTTTCCTATTTTTGACCCTAAAAACTTAAAATTTAGCATTTTCTTTCCAAGCCATTTTGTAGATCTTAAAAAAACAAATAATTTAGTATGTTGAAGCGTTATTATGCGCCTAATGGTTACGGAGAAAATTCCAAAAAACTGTAAATTTAAAATTCCCATGTTATTCTTTTGGAGAATAAGTAAACTGTTGTAGTTTGCTTGTTTATGATCATATTTTGATCAAATTTGGAAAATGCGTTCATTTCATACTAAACTATTAACATTTTACAAAAAAACACCTTTTTACCCTCCCTGTTGCAGCAAACCTAAGTACTCGTTAAACTAATGTTATTTAAATAGGGAATAAATGTGATATTTTTAAGGAGACATTTTAGTGTAAATCCAATCAGGCAAATGGAAATTCGCTTGGTCTGCAGGTTTGCTGCGACGGGGGTATTATAGTGTAAGAATGGGTTTTCCCCCTTTTTGACCCTAAAAACAAAAGATTTTGCAATTTCTTCCTAAACCGTTTTGTAGAGCTTAAAAAAATAAATAATTTAGTATATAGAAGCGCTGTTGTATGCCTAACGGTCACGGAGAAAATTAAAAAATAGTGTAATTTAAAATTCCCATGTTATTCTTATGGAGAAAATGAAAAATTGTCGTAGTTTACTTGTTTATGGATATATATATATATTGATAAAATGTGACAAATTTATTTATTTCATCCTATACCATTGACTTATGGTCAAAAAACACTTTTTACCTTCCCCGTAGCAGCAAACCTAAGCACTCGTTAATCTTAACCTACTTACCACCTACTTAGGTCTCAGGCATTGTGCGAGAGCCCCTCACATCGAATTTTTTTTATATTAAGACTAATTTAAAAATTTTTTTATTATAAAATTAAATTGTCATCACTTAACACAACCAACCAAACTTGCTGATAAATTATATAAAACAGATTTAAGATAAAAATCGAATGAAGGTTTACTTGTAATTTTTAATCATAAAATTTATTTGAAACATTTGTATAATAAAATTAAACTGTCATAACCTAACCTAACCAACCAAACTTGCTGATAATATAAAAAAGATATAATATAATTTTTCTTAATTTGACGTGAGGGAGGAGCTCTCGGACCATGCCTGACTTCTTAGCAGAAGAGGTTTACATCGGCTTCTGACCAGGCGCCTGAGACGCTAGTCTCGGCTCGCGGTTTTACATTTTTGATGTTGACGCTACTCGGACAGTTGAAAACTCGGACACTTTATATTTAGATATTTTTTTAAATAATTTAATAAACTCGGACAGTTGATTTATCTAAATATTATTAGTTATTTATCAAAACTCTGACAAATGAAACTCGGACAACTGATTTTTCTAATATTTTGTAATTTTTAACAAACTCAGACAACTGAAAACTTGGTCAAATGATGTGATCCCGGTCTAAAAGCCTTAGGCACAGCATATGTGTCCCTTCCAGGCTTCGGTATGAATACCACCCTTGAAGTCCTCCATGCTGTTGGTATTGGTATTGGTATTGGTTAGTTGCTCCACTGGCTAAGCTGGTCCTGAACAGACAAACCAAGGGGAGTATCAACTGGTTCCCACCCTCCTGCAAGAACACAGGATAGATGCCATCGGTACCAGGAGCTTTAAATGGTTGAAATGCCCTAAGAGCCCATTTTATACCCGTAAAGGTGATCACAGCTCTAGTGCAAATCCAATCTTTCCTTGTCGTCAGGACCCTAGTCTCTCTTTCCATGTCATCTTGGACTATGTTCCGCGTTTGCAAGGATCCTGAGAAGTGAGCACTCAAAAGGCTCTCCAGCACTTCTTCTGGGCCATCCATCCCATTACGTTTATAATTTTAAGCTACAAAAAAGAAATCGTAGAAATCGTAACAATTTATGATTCACGTCGAATTTGGTATCAAAATTAACAGGAAATTGCACAAAAATAAGCCATGCAGTTTATTTTCACTTTTTTTTTTCAAACAAAAAAGTTTGTGTAATGGTACTGGAGCCAGAAGCAAGGCTCACAGGCCCTGGCCACACGGTGTGCCAACCTCAGTACTCACACACTACGCCCAAGGGTTCAGACTATTAGTTCGGTTGGCTGGTTCCCGCATTACTCCAACCGGACTTTTACTATAGTTTTTAGTACAGCATAGCTTAAAAGAAAACATAGCAATACCAATCATTGATAAAATAATGCAGCTGATTTTTTCATCCAAATAATATGAATAGTACAATTATCAATTATTTCTACAGTATTTTACATGTACACTTAGTTGAATGTTTTAACCAAACCTTTACTGTGACAACACATACTTCCTGACTAACTACTTTACTAGGCTAGCTAGAGACAAAGTTTACTTACAGCCAGCATGAGAGCCTTCATTGATATGTATTGAGTTGGCGACAGGTCCAATGCTGCACACAACTGAAAAAGAGAAAACGTGGTTACACCATGCTTAATTGCAAATATATATGCAATGTGATGTCATTGTATTTCTGTGATGCAATTTTAGTTCTTAAAAAATCACAAATAAAAAAAGAGTTACCGGGGATAATTGTCTAGGAGCTAATAGATGAGTGAAAATTTAAAAACGTACGTTTTCAGGAAAAGCACTTTGAAATTTTTTTCCCCTTTTTTCAAAACTGTTATTATATTATTTTATTTCATTGACATTTTAAGTTTCATAAAATGTCCATGGTAACGCAATATCTTTGGTAGTTTTTTTTTTTTTAAAGAGCATCTTTAGTGGAGAAACACAAAATCCTGTCACGACCATAACAGACGTTTAAATGAATATTAAAAATAGTTAATATTATTTTTATAACTATGTTTTGCTATAAACTAATTTACTTTTATGACCATTATACAATAAACAGGTCACTGAGCTTTTGGTATATTTGGTCTTTCTAGAGAAAATAAAAAAACTAAAAAAATTGAAAAAAACCAATAAAATCTTTTTAAGTTAGTATAACTCCGAAAAAACTTACCTGAAACCCGAAAAATCGTTATGTTTGTATAGAGGTGTGCTTCTTTTTTGTATAAAACATTGAAATATGACGATATTTTAATTTTTGAAATTTTTATGATAGAAATCATAAACGTGATGGTCAGGGACAAGCGGTACGGTCGTGAATTTTCTGAAATAATCTAAATCTTTCTAAACAATCCTTCAATTATATTGTTAGTTATAATAAAAATATGTGTTTCAATTGAACTAAACTGTTCAAATTACAATTATATTAAAGTTATTGTCACGACCAAACATACTATAATCCATAAGGCTGGATTGGTCGTGAAAAAACCCGCGATGGTCGTGAAACTTTGGTCTTGAAATTACGTGTTATTTGGCTCTGTTCTGGCGGTAGCCCTGCACCTCACGTTCGAGGATACAAAGTGGACTTCTAGGTTAATCTAGCAATTGAAATATCTTATAAACAAAAATTAACACCATGTCTACTTCATCGAATGACTACGTACGGTCATGGACACACCAAAATTACAAAAAACACAACCTTTCCTTTATTAATCTTGTAATTCCTCCTTTCAACTCGAAACGACCGGCACTACAATCCTGACGTACACCCCGAACTAGTCTCTAAAACCAACTGACTCCATCGACGCCAGGCTTGCCACTGTCGTGCTCCAAAGTTGAAAATTTACCCAAATGGTCGTGACGCCAAATCGAGGGACAGACTTATTTTGTCATGGTAGTCAGTTTGCAATGACAATAAAATTATAATATGCTCCTCTTTTGTAAGTTTAATAACCATTGATGACATAAAAATATGGCTTTATATATTTCGGCATGAACAATTAGTCTAAAAACAGCGTGAAAGTTGGAAAATGTACCCTAGGGACACGTCATGGTCGTGAATTTCAAGACTTTAAAAATACAAAAAAAATACCTAGAACCTATTTAAAACCAAATAAATGTGTGTAACATGTTGCCCCCGTGCCAAAAAATATTAAAACACATAATAATAAACTACAAATCCAGTATCTACGAAGTAAAAGGCCAGGGACATGAAAAAGTACGTTTTTAAATTTTCACTCAGATACACAATGACAATTTTCTCACATAAGCTAGCTGAAATCTATTCATTTTCAAAAAATCATTGTTGGCCAATTAGTTTTCCTTAAAAAAAATGAAGACTGTATTGGCTAATGATAATCTTAATTGACACACACAATTTTCAAAACTAAGCTCATATTCATCAAGTTTACAGAATTATTCACACTTGAAAGACAAAGACTAAACAAAAATAAGAATCTACAACTGAAGGAGGTATTGATAGTTCTGGGAATCCAAGTTTAGGCTTCTTCAATTAACCTCCTCTGTGGCCTGAAGGTCTATGTTGATCTTCGCATCTGAGGAGGTATATTCAAGTGTTGTGAAGCTACTGCAGGGGGTGTTCTAGGTCGCAGCTGAGGAGGGAGATTTGGATGTTGTGAAGCTACTGCAGGGGATGTTCTAGGGCTAGGAAATACAGCTGGTGATCCAGGGTTTTCTGAAATCCGACTTGTACTTCTGGATTTCGTACTTGGAAATCTGACGAAGACAGTAGCTGCGGAAATTGGTTAATGCAGGGGTCGTCTTCCTCTTCCGATTCATTGCCTTGGTGACATTTCCGAATTTGACTTGTATGTCTTTAAGTGTGTCCATCAGAATCAACCAACCATGTGTTCCTACCTAACTGTCTTAGTATGGTTCCTATTTTCCATTTTACTTTCCCTTCAACAAAAGAACGTATGTACACTATACTCCCAATAGAAAATCCTCTGGTTTTATGGGTCCGTACAGGTCCGTTCATGCATGTATAGAATTCCGTCCTAGTACGGAAGTCGCTAACTCGGTCCCTCGGCGGAACTCGCTAACTCCCAATCAGAAGCCTCGCGCCCCGTCCAAGGGAGCCAAGCACGAAGATTGTTGGCCAGTGTTGCCGAAAGTGTAGTACCAACGACCGCATCGGTACCATAATGTCGTATCCTACGAATAATTAGGAGTAAGAGCAATGTAGTCGATAAAATAAATGTACATTTAGAAGTATGTTTTTTATTATTATTCTTATGTTTATTATTAGGGCGGAAAATGTGTCTTACCATAGACTAACCAACACAAGTAGACTCCTCATCCCATTGTAAATTTTGAAGCTCTTTTTTCGTGTCTAGTTCATGTCCGGTAACACTGATCGCTAGTGTCTACGAAATTTTGTTTTTATTATTTTATAGTTAATTTCATGATTTGTTCTCTACTGTTTGGTTTTATAACTAGGGGACGAGTTATTAGTTATGGTTGAAAATGTTTTATTTGGTTAAATGAGGTTTTATATGTGACTGTAAACAAGAAACAAATTGTAAACAAAACACTACCTCTACAGACAGTGCACCAGACAGAGCTAACAATAAAATTGTCTTCAGCTGATCCATAAGGAACAGAAGTCTACTAAGGGAGTACGTTTTATCTATGGTCTTCTCACTTAAATAGTACCTGGGGACCGAGCTTTGCTTGCGGATCACTATACTCTCTGAGAGTATTCTTTGGTCAATGTAAATCCATCCCAAAAATATTATTTTGTAGACTATCTTTTCTTGACATCTCTTTAACTTCTATTAAAATAATAATATCATAGTTTACTGAAATGATGAGAAAGAAGAGTTTTTAACGATTTGTTTGGTTACCCTAAACGGCCCAAACTATAGAAAATACCCATTAACCCTTAATTTTTTAAATGTATAAGTTACAATTTTCCGGAAACTCAGGACTCTTTCCTACTGTAAACGATTACATTTTTTGATTTAGCAAGAAGAACTCAGTAAGGAGACATTATAATCCAATTTTTATTAGGTTTGGTTATTTTAAACTTTTTCTATAAACAATATTTACAAGCAAATGTTGGTTAACTTAGGTGTTGGCTATTTAAAGACCAAAATTAATCTCTTGTCATTTTATAAATCATCATCTAATGTAGACCTACACTAAAGTATGTACAATGCTGAAGTATATTGATGGATTAGCCTCTAGAGCAAGTGTAGGCATTGGCATTTGTCGGTTTGCGACATTTGTCGACAGGCAACACGCCACAGATGCATGCTGATCCAACCTTTAACCAACTTAGCTGCTATTCATAACCTATCAAATGAATTTACCACACTTAGCTTATGGTGTATCTATACCATACATGATATATATCATTGTACATAAGCTTGGCTTCCTTGGATAAAGCCATGAATAGGCTTAGTATGGAAAAAATAAGGTTTCTGTGGGAACCGCAGTTAAAATCTGTGGTAAATTCAAACCAAATGATAATATGTAAAAAAATTACTCTCTATTAATTAGTCACAGTATAAACCTTAAAGAAAAAAATAATAATTTAAGCTTTAATTTAAAATACCTTATGTTACTCGCGTTCATAGAACAAGTCCTAATAAGAACACTGTTATGGTGCATATGGCATATTTCATGAAAATATTGATTGAAATCAAATCAAGAGTTAAGTAAGTATTTATTTTATTTATACAAAAGATACTTTAGGATTGAATAATGAGTAGTTTTAACCTTGAAGAATCTTTTGCAGCCCTTGATTGGGGTTTACATTGAAAACTATTAGTTATTACCTGGATATATAGTTTTTGTTTTGCCTTGGTTTAGTTGTATTACTTATTCACACAAAAAATGTTTGGCATCTATCTATATTATATTATTAAAGTGATACAATCAAATTTTATGTAAACGGTTATGGCCATTTACCAAATAAAAATATAGGCATATGGCATATCAAAATGAAGCTTAGAGTGTAGATTTGCCGAAAAGTATTGATATGGACGAATTCCCTAAGGGCTCTACTCCACAGGCTGATTTCCAAAGGGCCAGTGTTGGGGAAGCTACTTTTAAAATGTATCTACATTAGCTACAACTACTGCTACATTTCCAAAAAAGTAGCTTAGCTACAGCTACAGTTCCGAAAAAGTAGCTAGCTACAACTTCAACTACAATGAAATGTAGCTACAGCTACAATTTTAGCTACTTTTCCAAAGACGTTAATTTTTATTCCACGCACATTAGGTAAATGTAAAATTAATTGCAACTACATTTTTATTGAACAAACATTTAAAAAATGTCAGTATTGTATCTAACATTACTTGGGAAACAAATTATTCCTAGATTGTATTTAATTTGTTGGCATTATAAACCTAACATTACAACAACAGAACCAAATAGTTGGGTGTCCCATCATATTTAGTAATTATTTTTAAATATTGCATTATTTTTAAGCATCTTAAAATTTGTAATTTTCATTAAGTTCAAAGGACATACAACCAAACTATATTTTAAAAGCTAATTTTATTAATTTAAGATAGATTCATTTATAGATGTTTTATATCAACAATTATAATATAAAACTGCAAAAAGATTATTTAAAAAT